CTTTCCCTCCCAGGTCAACCCTAAAGAACGTTTTAGTTTCACGTCCAACAATAGAAACTTTCCATTATCCCTTATTAAAGATCCCAAGAATAGCATGTAAAGTGATTTATAGATAATCTTAAAGTTAATTTATTATTTTAACTGTTTTGCTCTCTTACCAAATCAAATTTGCATTTCAACTTTTTTCCTTTGTGTTGATTCATGGTGGCGCACCGAAAAAACAATATCCCCCCGCAGTATCTTGGTTTTACTGTTTTGTATTATAAACTCTACAGAATTAAATCAACTGTTTACCTGTATTTTCCCTTTAAAAAAAAAAAAGGGACAATTGGAGTGAATAATCTGAAAGTGGATAACCAATCTCAAAATAAGTGTTAACAATACTTTTAAAAGGGTAGTGGAAGCAACCCACATGTCCATTAATGGATACATGGATAAACAGAATGAATATTATTCAGCCTTAAAAAGGAAGGAAATTCTGATATACGCTACAACATGGATGAACTTTGAAGACATCATACTAACTGAAATAAGCCAGTGACAAAGTACAAATATTATATGATTCCACTTATGTGAGGGACCTTAGAGTAGTCTGGTTGCTAGGGGTTGGAGGAGGGGAATGAGATGTTTGTGTTTAATAGGTACAGAATTTCATTTGAGGAAGAAGAAAAAGTTATGGGGATGGATGGTGGTGATGGTTGCACAACAATGTGAATGAATTTATTGGCACTGGACTGTACACTTAAAAATGGTTAAAATGGCAAATTTTATATATATTTAACTACAGTTTTTAAAAAAGGTTAAACAAAACTTAAAAGGCAGAGCTTCTAAGCTTTGTGGGGAAAAGGAGTTTTGAATCTTGCTTCCTAGTGTGGTCAAGCAAGTACAGATTTCTTTTCCTACTGATTAGTGACTTTGGGTAAGTTATTTGAGTTCAGTTTCTTAAACTGTAAAATGAGGATATGGTGGTTCCTACCCCAGAGGATCGTAAAAGATTATATGTGTGGTAACAATTTACAAACTATAAACCCCTGCCCAGGAAAATGTAATTGAAATTAAACAAAAACTATTAGCTGCTATTTATTGACGACTTGCCACTGTGCTAAGTTTAATGTGTATTATTATCTCATTTAATCATCACAGCCACCCTATGAACTAATTTATTCTGTTTACAGATAATGTAGCTGAGGCTTAGAGAAGTTAAGTAATTACTGAAGACCATATAGCTCGTAAATGACAAAACTGTCCTTAGAATCCAGATGTTTCCTAGGCCAGTGCTCTTAACCACTAGAAAAATGATCTTCTGTCTTAGTAGTTGCAAGGCCACTTTTGAGACTTACGTCTTAGGAGTTATCTCTGTGTGCTGACATCTTCAACTTAGTAGTGAAAACATTTGCTACACGAAGAGTTTTGCTGTTAAGGTAGACAGTCTTTTAAAGAATTTGCAGAATATTTCTCTTTTCCTTTTTGTCTCTCTTTTACCACTTTTTTTTTTCTTAAGAGAGTTTTGCTAATATTCTCTTCTTCTAAAGTGTATTTATTAGTATTGCTTTAGCCATCATTTTTATTTTACATTTATAGTGTTGCCCAGTTCATCATCATTTAAAAATCCTTAGGGGCTTCCCTAGTGGCACAGTGGTTAAGAATCCGCCTGCCAATGCAGGGGACAAGGGTTCAAGCCCTGGTCCGGGAAGGTCCCACATGCCGCGGAGCAACTAAGGCCGTGCACCACAACTACTGAGCCTGCGCTCTAGAGCCCGCGAGTCACAACTACTGAAGCCCTTGCCCCTAGAGCCCGTGCTCCGCGACAAGAGAAGCCACCGCAGTGAGAAGCCTGCGCACCCCAGCGAAGAGTAGCCCCCGCTCGCCACAACTAGAGAAAGCCCGCGCACAGCAGTAACAATAGTTACTGTCATAAGTGTTAAATTTTGTTAACTTACACACATTTTTGGCACCTAATGCAGAAGTTATTAATTTTGGGTCTATGGTTACTGAAGCCATGAATTGATCTTAGAAGCTTATCCTTGAGATAATGTGAAAACGTTGGGTAAATATATTTTTAAAAATCATATTCTCAAAGTCATGTGATATAAAAGGTTAAGAATCTCCTTCCTGGGACTTCACTGGTGGTCCAGTGGTTGAGACTCCACGTTCCCAATGGAGGGGGCCCGGGTTCCATCCCTGGTCAGAGAGCTAGATCCTGCATGCCCCAACTAAAAGATCCCGCATGCTGCAACTAAGACCTGGCACAGCCAAATAAACAAACAAACAAATAGTTTTTAAAAATCTCCTTCCTAAAGGGAAGTATTGTTTCTAAGGCCTGATACAGTAAAAACTTAACTGGTGTGAGCATTTCCCTGTGGTGCCAGATATGTAAATAGCAGTGATGAATGGGAGCAACTGAAAGATTAAGATTTAAGGTCCTTAAGCGAAGACTGAATTTTAACTGTATGCTTGGGGCAAGGGGTACCATGACACCTGAGTACTCTTAGGCCAGTGGTTCTCTTGTCATTGCTGAGGACCCACTCATAAGAGCTTGTTTTCCTTTTCTTGTTTGCTGCCTCAGATTTGCTCTGGGTTTAGAAACCAAGTAAGCGGTGTAGCAAATCGCATGAGAACTGTGTCAGAGTAAAAAGACCACAGTGAGATCTTAGGGGCTTCCCTATGGAGAAAGTTAATGACCTTTAGAGTAGGGCCTTTGGATACCTATTTTGGTGATTTCACAGGCTATTTCGAATTTCTTGACTTTTAACTGTGTGTATATACATATAGGTGAAATTAGAGAATAGCTTGGGTATTAACTGTATTTTATTGGGAATTATATCATCATTATTAGATTAAGGTCTCCCCTTACCATTGTGTAAAACTCACCAAATATAGTGTTATTTCTTATGTATTCAGAGAATAACATTAAGAAGTGATTGAATTAACTGCAGAAACAAAGAATAGTTACTGTCATAAGTGTTAATCCTACTAGAAAAATATATGTGAGCAGCCCAAGCATCATCTGACCAAACTTCAAGAGTCTTGGATCAGACTGCTCAAATGATCATGAAAAGTTCCATACCCTTTAAGAATCTACACATGCTTTTAAATAAAACAAAAATCTGAACTTCTGAAAAATATGGGAGCCTATGTTATTTTTTTTAAACCTGTGTTATTTTTTTTTAAATTTATGTTATTTTTAGAGAGCCAGCCTTCAATCTCTGTGAAGTGAAGTTGCTAAGCAAGGGGCCAAGGCTTTTCTAATGTTATTGTTATATGCCAAACAAATAGCTTATCGACAAATAGGTGACTATTTTTGTGTCCTGAAAAGTTCAGGGAAGGATCAAGAATTAGTAGATAAAATGCTGGCAAAGGCTATCATTAAAGCAGTGTTCCCATTATGAAAACTGCTGATCAAAAGTCTTGGAACTTAAAAAAAAAATTAAAAAGTCTTGGAACTTAGAAGCTTGAGACATTGCTTGATTTGTTAATGAGGTTACCTTGAGCTTTTTATCCTTGACCCAAAATACTTGTATTTATTTACTTGGTTACGTATATGAGTTTGACTTCCTAGCTTCACATCAGTGCTTTCTGAAGCTCAAGCTTAGCAACAGAGGAGCATATTGAGATGATTATCCAAAATGTACCTTTTCATGAAATTGAAAGGTAGAAACAGCTTTATTTTTTGTGTTTATTAGTGATAGTACGAGTGCTCTTTTCAGTTCTGCTGTATAGTTATGCAAGTGATTTCACATGTGCTCATCTCTGAACTTAAGCTTGCATCAGGATCACCTAGATGGCGTATTGAAACACAGACTGCTTCCTACACCACCAGAGTTTCTGATTCTGTAGGTCTGGGGTGAGACTAGAGAATTTAAATTTCTAACAAGTTCCTTAGAGGATGCTGATGATGCTGATCCAGGGACCACACTTTGGAAACCACTACCTTAAAGTATTCCTGTGAGGCAGATTGGGCAAGTCATTATCCACATTTTGTAGTAAATAAACTAAAAAATCAAAATGGTGAAGTGATTGCCACAGGGATTACCTGA